TCTCTCTCACACCCCCCCCTCTCTGTCTCTCACACACTTTTGTCTCTGTGTCTTGCTTTGTTCTGTCTATTTCTTTCCTCTTTTACTCCCCTTTCACTTCTTACCCCCTCTCTCTCTCATTTTAACTGTCCATCTTTAGGAAGGAGTTGGAGATTTAGAATGGAGCCAACACATCCTCTGGACTCTTTGACTTGCTAATTCTCTTTCCACAAACCCAATCACTCTCTTCATCGCCGCCCGGCGCACTCACGGGTGGTCCTCCCTTGGCGAGCAACCGGAAGCTCTCCCCTTTCCTTTACCTGGCGCCCAAATCTTCAAGCCCATCACCGGCGAGAAACCTTTCAATCACTGCTCTGGCCAGGCATATTCTTCGCCTTACACCTCCCCTCCCCCCATACACACGCAGCCACCTGCTACACTGTCTTAACCGGCCGGCGGGGTGTAAAACAATTAGAATCGGAATCCAAAGATGGAAATCCCTGTACCATTTTTGAGATATTCAAAATTTGGATTCCGCTTACGCTTGTCCCACGATTTTTCTCCTAATCTTGTTTGTTTGAGTAAACAGAACCACAACGACACAATAATAGTCATTTAGTGCTGGAAAAAGGCAGTACAGACAGACAGAAACAACAGAGGAAAAGTAAAGAAGTAGGACCTACCAAAGGCGCCCTCCAACCTCCCATTCGGTGCATTCTAAGCCTAAGCCATTAATGTGATGTTATTATGGAAGATAGAAACACTGTTCTCGCGTTGGAATGTTGAACTAGAAACGAACGTGAAAATATCATGAGATAACATTCTCCTTTGTCGGTTTAAAAAAATGTTTCGCATCATTTTTAAAAACTGAAGATGAACAACGATTACATCAAATGTCCTTAAAAACTTTTGGACATTATGATCATTCGCGCCCAACTGTTTTTAGTGTATTTGGTCTCACTTCTGAAGCGTCCTTTTAACGGGGACAGAGGAGACTAAAAAGTACTAAAAACGCTGTTTAACGGAAGTAGGCGGGGGAAAGGGGAGGGGGGAGGGTACATTTAAATGACATTGTCAACTGGGCTATTTTATCCAGCATGGCTGTGCAATTGTGCGCCCTTACTTCAATTGACACAAAGCAGTATACTGGACTCCAGTGGGGGTTCGATAATCGGCCATTCTTGAACCTTGGCTGTTTACAATGTTTCGAAGTTTTTTCCACGAACTTGGCTCTTTCTTAATGTAAGTAGTTTTACGCTCTCATCGACACAATTTGTGTCATTTAGGAGGTGAGCTTCGGCCCAGCCAGTCAAGTCCAACTTGGGCTGTGAGGGATAAAACGTCCCCGCGGGAAGATTGAGATACTCGACAAAAATTCTCCCAACACGGATATCGAACTCGAGTCTTCTGCGTGTGATGGCGAAGCGCCTAATCGCTACACACCAGACGCTGTTCGCACTTGATTCCGTCCTGTGGGAAATGAACGTTTCATAAGGTAATAAGGAGACATTTCCTTCTTACAGCGTTGAAAGTACTGATTAACCCAAGCCACCATGCCGAGGTACACGACCGCTTCTCACCAGGAGAGTAGCTTGCAGATAAAACAACGCGCTGTCTAGCTTTCAACACAACAGCTGTATACCATTCTGCTAAGGAGATAAGTGGGGGGAAATGTTAGGAAGTAAACGAAATACTAAAACGGTAGTTGACCAGTTTATTCCCCATGTGATGACAACCGTGTCATTATATTATATAAATTTCTTTCCAAGTCTGCGAAATGTAGACAGAGAAGCAGGATTTAGAAAGTTCTTTGGACAATTTTGCCTGTCATTTCAGAGGAAGTCAGTGCTTTCTTTCTGCTTATTTCGAGCAGTTAAAACCATGATGTCAATAATAACACACAACTGACGAAGTGCTGTGATCACATATACAATTGTAACAAGAATTGTAGTAAGCTTCTTTTATACCCTTTAAGGGGGGGGGGGGTACACCTGGAGGCTATCTCGCTTATTACTGGACCGAATTTTACCACATTTCACACATATAACAAGCATAGTAAGGAGTCTTGAAATCCGCAATCAAATTTGAGAAAAAAGTTTCGTTTCCATGGATACGCCCGCCATATTGGATTTTATTGACATGTCTTACGTAATGAATACCGCACTTATCGCTCATGGAAATTGATTGTTTTTTTGCATGCGTGTGCACAAACATTAGATCTAAAAATTTGTCTGTTGTCTTTTTCCTAATCGAATTAGAAAATTTTTAAAATTTAGGCTGATCGCCCGACTCGGTCACCTGAAACTGAAAACAAACGCGTTTGTTATTGAGGCGACTGAGTCGGGCGATCGGCCCGATCCGCCGATCCCATCCGTAATTGGCACCTCGTGTAACAGTTCAACCACAGTCACCGGTGAGCAACGGTTGTTGTCGATCAGGAAAGCAGACTCGCTGTTGTGTGCCGAACGTTGGACGATGTCTTGGACTATCGCTGGTCTGTTACGTCATTTAATAACTGGCTTAAAATGGACGCCATTTGGTCCAACACATGATAGGTTCGGTTTAGGTTGCATCGGGTCATGGCTCTGGCCAGAGAAAAATGGTGAAATAGTATAGGCGTAACGCCCCTATCAATACTGTTAGCTTGTTTAAAAGGCGGGAACCTCCTGAGTTTAGCGTCCATCTCCGAAAGGACCCAGCCAAGTGGAAAATTTGTGTAAAGTGCCTTTCCCAAGGACACAAAAACGGACCCACCCGAGGGTCGAATCCCCGAACACGAACAAGCAATCTCACGATTACGAGTCCGGTAGCCTAACCACTAGGCCACCGACGCCACCCGCTCTTTGGCCAGCGTAGATTATAAAATTATCAAACAAGACATCTGCTTTGCTTGATAAAATTTGACCCTAAAGTTTATTGGGCTCTCTCACATTCCACATTATGCAAAAAAGATCTGACCCCGCAATGCCATGTTGTAGCCTTATAATTGGCTGTTGGCCATGATCTCAATAAAAAAAAAGCATGTGAATGGGTTTAACGCCCTTATCAACACTATTAAGTCATTAAAAGGTGGGGACCTCCGAATCTAACACCCATCTCTGATAGGACCAAACCAAAAGGGTTGAGAGCCTTAGAAACTCCACAAAACGACCCAAGTTCAATAGCGGCCAGTCTGGGATTCGAACCATGGCCCTCCGCTCCATAGTCCAAAATACTACCAACTGAGCTGATGGAGTGCTCGCAACTGCGAATCCGTTCGTGACCGAGGAAAAATAAAGCTGTTTGATTATGGAGGACTCGATCAAATAATTGAGAAAAAATAGTAGCTTTTCCCCCTCCATGAAGGTATATGTCGTATATCTTAATGCCCTGAACTGTATCAAACCATCCTCAAACCATATTTGAGGACATGGAGCACGCATCTAAATTGCTTAATTTTGTGTGGCTTCTGTTAACTCAATTTCGCTGATACATGTATTATGCAAATAGGTTTCTGATATGCAATGATAATCACACCTTTCGACCTCCTCCCTAAACTTTTTGGGGAAACCAAACACTCAATATTTAAAATGTACAGCTTATTGACATAACATCTTGTACGCAAGCTTGGGGTCATACTTGTGGTACATTTAAGGGGTTTCCTTAAGGCAATAGAAATGTTATGGGCCAAAGTGATAAAAACAGTATGCAACCCAACTCGCCCACACTCTCCGTTTTCCTCAATCTCACTCTATCTGTCTGTCTGTCTGTCTGTCTGTCTCTGTCTGTCTGTCTGTCTGTCTGTCTGTCTGTCTG